CCAAAAATTTTTTGGAAGTGATTTTTCACTTTCAAAGAAATCCCAGATTAATTTAATAGCAGAAATTTAACTCAAAATGTTATGGTGATATTTGAACAATACAACTAACTCCCATCATCAAAAACAATGGAGTATTCCAGTCAAAACTAATATGAAATAAAAGGAGTGATTGACTGAAAAATATTTTCAGTCATTAAAGAGAAGCCAGTCATAAAACCAGTTCATAATTTTTTAAAAAATGAAAACCTTAATTGTTCCTTTTAAAACTTTTAAAATTATTTAATAGTAATGTCGAACATTATATTGATACTACAGCAGAATGAAGACATGATGACTGACAGTGCCTTATGACAGCCCTACAATGCCATCAACTTGTTGATATTGCAAATTAGAGATGAAACTGATTCTTGCTTGGATTTGTACCACGAAATCCTCTGAATAAAACCCCTTTTAATTTTCAGCAAACTCAGAGCCATAGCCACATGTTTGGAAATACATTTTATTAATTATTCTTATGTTTGGCTTATTTACAGTTTTCTGCAAATTAACATTGGGTAATATTCTTCATTATATTCTGTAACATCAATTCTACATGGGGTAGTTTCTCCCCAACCATTTAGAATTTTCTGAGAGAAATAAAGATATGCTGGCAGCCTGATACAACAGATAATATTGATTTCCAAATGCTTTTGATACAATCATTCAATGAAAGACATTAGCCAATTGATACAAATAGATTTTTTTGTACATGAAAATTGTACCAAATTCACTGCTCCAAAATGTGGTATGAATTAGACAAACACGGAAACTAGGTTTACAAACAGCTATTAAGCAAAACAATTACAAATAATCCTCATGTTCAAACATAGCATGCAAAAACAGATGTCACCTGCTATCTCCCAACAGGGCTGCCTGTCCTAAGAGGCATGGGGAAACATCCTACCTTATTTCTGTGAGTACACTTCCCATAATGTATTTCTATTTTTTCCTATGAGCTGAGTACAGATAGTCCTCGACTTATGACCACAACTGAACCCAAAATTTCTGTTGCTAAACAAAACATTTGTTAAGTGAGCTTTGCCCCATTTTACATCCTTTCTTGCCATGGTTGTTAACAGAATCACTGCAGTTGTTAAGTTAGTAACATGGCTGTTAAGTGAATCTGGCTTCCCCATTGACTTTGCATGTCAGAAGGTTGCAAAATTGATATGACTCGGAACACAGCAACCATCATACATACATGTCAGTTGCCAAGTATCTGAACTTTGATCACATGATGACAGGGATGCTGTAAAAGTCATAAGTCTGAAAAATGGTCATATGTCATTTTTCCAGTGCTGTTGTAACTTCAGTTACCCATATTGAATTACCTATATCGGTGGGCAAAATGACTCTTACTGCGTTAATGTGTTCACAGAAAGATAGAGAAGAAAAGCCCATGCCATTTTTCAAGAATTTAAGAATTCACTTCAGTTGTACTTTCTTTGTAGCATTTTGGAGACTGAGATAGGACTATAGGTAGTCCTCGATTTACAACAGTTCATTTAGTAACCATTTTCACACTTACCACTTTTGCAGCATTCCCAGTCACCTGACCAAAATTCTGAGACTTGGCAACCGACTCATATTTATGACAGTTGCAGTATCCCGGGGTTATGTGACTACCTTTGGCAACCTTCTAACATGCAAAGCCAATTGGGAAGCCAGATTCACTTAAAAACTATGTTACTAACTTAACTGAAGTGGTTCACTTAAGAACTTGTGGCAAGGCAGGTCATAAAATGAGGCAAAACTCAACTGTCTCACTTAGCAACAGAACTTTTGGGCTCAATTGTGCTCATAAGTCAAGGACTACAGGTAGTCCTCGACTTATTACAGGAGCCTGTAATATATGTCTCTTTTGCTGAAACAGACTAAAATGCAATAGGGCTGAAAAGTAAATTCCTTGGAGAGAAAACCTTACCTGGCCACTTTTGCATATGAGTTTGTGCCACTAGTACTTAAGGGAACTCACGAAAATAAGTATATTCAGTATCTGCATTTCAAGCTAGCTCCTGTTAATAATAACATTCTCAGAACCACTCCCTTCAAAATAACTCATTTTTTTTTCATCTCTTTATATCTCATACAAATATAAAACTCGGAATTCTAGCAGTCAAATAAATTGAGCTCCTTCTGGATTCCTGCAGTATAAACGACCTGAAACAAGAGGCGGAGGCGGCATTTCTCTTATTCGGGGATCTAAATCATAACCGACCTTCCTCCCTTTAAATCAGGAAGAAGCTGTGACAATCCAGGCCGAACTGCAGCGGAATGGAGCGCGGAAAAGGGGTCGGCGAAAGAACGAACAGCAGGCAACAAACTCCCGAAACATGCCCGTCAGTAGAAAACAGCCTCCCAGCGCTTCACCCCCTTCTGAATCCCAGGAACCGAAAGCCGGAAACCCTGTCAAGTTTCTCTCGCTTTCCCCATAAGTCCCCAATTGGGTTTTCGCTGGAGGGCTCCCCACAATTGGAGAGCCGCCTCACCTATTCTATCGCCGCTTCCGTTCCTTCCTCCTCCTTCCTGGCGGCGACTGAGCTTGTCGGCTCATCCCCACAAACCTTCGGGATTGAGAGCTGCGATGAAGTGGAGCCCCCCTCCTCCCCCCCTCCCAAGCCGTTTTAAGAGCCCGGCGCCATTACCGCCCAGGAACCGACTCAGAAGCGCCGGGGCGCGAGCTTCAGAATACCAGCGGCGCGCGGTAGGGCGGGAGCTGCGGTTGGAAATCTCGCGATATGTCCTCAGAAAAGTCATAGACCTCCCAAATACGGCGATCGTCGAGTCGGTTTCTGTGCGCTCCGGTCATCTTGAATGTGGTAGAGCCAGATACTCCGCCCATCTTTCTCTCTCTCCCCCCCCCCCCTCCGCTAAATAGACAGACATGAAATGCGGGGAAAACCTATAAATTGATTTGTGGATAAAAGTAGGGGCATATTAAAGATTTACTGAAAAAAACGCCTGGTTCCGTCAAAATGTATCTTGAGCTTCATTTGAAAGATTCCCCAAACCCCAAAAACTTTAATCTTAGGCTGTCTACTATTGACCTCACCCCTTTCCTTAGAGGTCTGTAGGGGGGCGTGCATAAGCACACCAACGCGCCTACCGTCCCTGTCCTATTGTTTTATATTTTTTATTTTTCTTATATGTATCCATGTATTCATAACTATGTTTTTACTTATACCTATTATCTTGTAAGCAATTGACATACAGAAATAAATAAATATATAGATATATATATATAGATATATATATATAAAGGAATGTGTCGAAAGAATTAGGGGCGTCATGATGGCAGTATTTCAGTATTTGAAGGGCTGCTGCAAAGAAGAAGGGGGTTAAATTATTCTCCAAAGCACCCAGAGGGCAGGACAAGAAACCATGGTTGGAAACTAATCAAAGAGAGAATTAAGGAGAAACTTCCCAACAGTGAGGTCAATTAACCAGCGGAATAGCTTGCCTTCAGAAATCGTGGGTGCTCCAAACTGGAGGTTTTTAAGAAGAAACTAGACAACCACTTCCCTGAAATAGTATAGGTTCTCCTGCTTGTGTAGTGGGCTGGACTAGAAGACCTCCAAGGTCCCTTCCACCTCTATTCTATTCTAAAGTTAAATCAGTGAGGTGCATCTCGGAATATGGATTGCTATAAAAATGGTACAACATGATTATCAACTCTTCGATTAAAAAAAGTTCTACTGAATCTTCTGAAACTTTTTTTCTGTAAAACATAATTAGGATTGTTGTTTTTTTAAATGAGAATTGTAATTAAGCCAATATATGCCTCTAAAATATCACCAAACTTAGAGATTTATGCTAGCAATGGGCATGGGTAAATTGTCTCCAAGTTAAATTGTGGTGCAGTTATAGCCAAGGCAATCCTATTAATATTTTACTCAGTAGTAAGCAACATGTCATTCCATTAAGGCAAACGTCTAGCTTCACAATTCAGACTGAATTTACATGCCAAGCTAACCATAATAAAGTTGCTTTGGCTAAATATTCTGTGGGAAGCCACAAACAATCCCCCATATGATGGCTTAATATTGGGTATTAATCCAGCAATTATAAATAACGGCTAATCCAAACATGACTAATTGTATTTTATTTAAAGAGCTATGGTGAAAAAGAACCTTGGCTTAGAACAGGGCTGTCAAACTCCTGGCCCACGGGCTGGATGTATCGCACGCTGGCCACACCCATACTCAGTTTAGCGAAGGGGGAAAAAGTCCCAATGTGTCACGTGACACTGCCGTGATGACATAAGTCTGACACCCCTGGCTTAAAAGATACGTAAACTAGATAATTGACCAGACTAAACTAACATAGAGTTTGATGGGAAAACATTGAGATGAACATCAATGTCCTGGTCTTGAGACCCCTTTTCTCCTTCTACTACAATCTCCTGGATGTTATTCTTCATTTATAAACTAGACATGCATGAGCACTCTATTGCTCTTTGAAAGAAAATGGTTTAGTAGCAAGCCAGGTGGAAATCAATGATTTTCCAGTTTCTATCTCTTGCAATTAAAGTTATTCTATTAGCATTTTGTAGTTCTCCATGTTGCCTATGTCCTCTACGTAACTGTGTCCCTCAGTAAAAAAAATAAAATTTGAGAAGTAAAAATTATAGATAGTGGCATGCAGAAGTTAAACTGCTGTATGCTCATGTATTGGAATACATATGTTACACTAAGCCAGGGGTCAGCAAGCCTCATGTGGCTCTTTCATCCCTCTGCTGCGGCACCCTGTTGCTCAAAATATGTGTCACAACCACCAATGTGTGTGACACCTGCCAGCACGCAATTTATTGAGCTTTTTGACTCCCGATAGGCCAACCATGGGTAAATCCAAGAAAAGAAAAGTTTCAGAAGAAAATAGACCGTTTTTATTCAACTACATAAGCTAGTTTTTGTGGCCGCTCAGGAAATAGTCAGGCACAGGAAGGGTTTTGTGGCTCCTGGTGTTTTCTGTGCGAAATGAGTTCCAATGGCTCTTTGAGTGTTTAAGGTTGTCGACCCCTGCACTAAGCTTTAAGCCATGATTTATAAACAAAAAACAAAAACTGAGTTCATGCCATACAAAAAGCAAAAACAAAACATATTGCACATGATTTTCTCTGATTATTTATTCAGTTTCTATAGCCAAGTAAAAACCAAGTAACTCTGCAGTTTACAATTCTAATTTTTTTTTAAAAAGCAACAATAAAACATCCACAAAATATATATCTAGAATGAAACATAAAATTCAGATAATTCCCATTAATATTGCCTCCTTTCTAACATTCTGCCATATAAGTCTAATATAGTTCAAGTATGAGCTTGAACTGATGTTTGAAAACTTTTTAAACAAGGCATGTGTAAAAATGATGCACAATGATATTCATGTACAACAGCAGTATACCGCACGAGATTCTAATATAAAATGGTGCTTTGAGATATACAGTAGTATAGCTGGTCTGAGAGAGCCAGACTTTAGCTCCTTAAACAAATATGTCCCTTACCAGAAATATGGTGGTGGGCAACTATATGAATTCAGGGAAAGAAGATCTAGGCAGGTGCTAAACATGAATGCTTTTGCATGCTCTAACATCCCTTCATACCATCAAATCTGGAGGACTCTGCCCAGTGGTGGGATTCAATTTTTTTATTACCAGTTTGGTTGGGGTGGCTTGGTGGGCGTAGCAGGGGAAGGATACTGTAAAATCTCCAGTCAGAGGTGGCATTTTCCAGTTCTCCAAACTATTCAAAATGTCCTCTATCGGTTCTCCAGAACTGGTCAGAACCTGCTGAATACCACCTCTGAGTCTGTCACAACGCACAATTACCAATATTCACTTACAAATAGAACAAAGCATCCTCAGTATTTTTGGAAGAGTGTCAGCATATACCGGATTTTGGTCACTCGCTGTACTAAGTATTAAAGTGATACCAAAGATACTTTTTCAAGAGGCAACTGGAGAACAAAAGAGCACTTTTGGGACAACCATGATCTGGATAACTGAGAATCACTATAGACATTTACTAAAGTTATAATTTAAATTCTTCAGGAAAAAAGGCTGGTTTCTGAAGAACTGTACACATTTGCTTTGCACAATTTGTTCTGCTTCTTAACTTAAATACTGACCAAATCCATTGTGTGAGGTCTTAAAATTGCTATCTCTGATTACTTAGAATGACGCTTTCATTCATTTTAATGTATGAGACTTCAATTTCAAAACATACTTAAAGGCATAAACATTTGTATTTTATTTAAAATGAAGGTTGGGAATTCCAGAAAACTCAATTTCTGTATTGCAGTAATGAAACGCATATCAGTGATAAAATAATTAATACTCCTGTATTTTATATTTTTCACTGTAGTATTTTCTGCTGATATGAGGATGTGCAAATATTTATATTACACATGAAGCCATGCAACAAACAGAAGCAGAAATTCTTAGTCACAAAAAGCTTTAACATCCACACAGCAATTTAAAAGAAATTGATTGATTAGGTGCCATCAAATGAATGTCAGCTTTTCTCACAGGATGATCTGTCTTGAAAATGGGCTTTCAGTTCACTGCTGTTGCAATTGAATTTTCTCATCTTGCTGTTACTTGTTTTCTTCTCTTTCTTTCTTCATGCACCTTTTCCAGCATTATAGACTATTCTAGAGAGCTAGATCTTTGCATAATGCATCTGAAGTAAGATAATTTGAGCCTGGTTATTTGTGCCGTGGGTGAGAACTTTGGATTGTTTTGTTTGGGATTTTCCCTTTGGCTTTCCATGGTATTCTCTGGAGTCTTCTCCAACACCAAAGTTCCAAAGCCTAAGTACTGTTCCTATCCTGTTTCTTCAAATTTTCACTTCCATAGAGTGCCAGAAGGAATATAGTTGCTGTCACTATTCGTTTTTGTAGGCATGGACCCATTAGGGCATCTGAATAGTGTTTACAGTGCCTTCATGGATGGTCTACCAAGTGCTGGCTATGTCATGTTTCTTGATTGCAAGTTACTCTACTATTGATGGCTCATCTTAAAAGGCAAAAACCATCTACAACTTTGATATCTTCCTTATATTCCTCATGAATTATAATTCTCCAGAGAAATGTAATTGATATTACTTAATCAAACTATACCCAAATACTTTGGTATTTGGCATTATACCCAAATACTGTTTCTTCAATATTCTTTACAACTATGAAATCAAGATTCTTTCTTGGTTTTCATGCTCTGAGCAATAAATATTTTCTACTTAAACTGAAAGTGTACATTTCTGCTCCATTTTCATTTGCTGACATACAAAAGCTCTATTTGTGATTGGTTCACTTAATCTTTCACTGTGTTGAACTTCCTCATGTTCCTGTTTCTTAGATTCAATATTTCTTCTATAATCCTGTCTTTGTAGCTTCTAACCTGGAAGGCTTTAATAAGGCTGTGTCATAAGCACATTATAGCCATACTCCAAAAATCATCAGCTTTTCTCAATGCTACCTTGTGCGTCGTTTGATCTGAGGAGCCCATCATCTAATACTATATTGACAATCAGTCAAACATGCCTATCCATGTTTTTGTGGAGAATACAGAAGTGGGTTTACACTGCCTTCTCCTATACATTATTTTATATTCCCATTGTCATTATCACTAAATGATCATCCACTTTCATCACTTTCATTGATCTCTGCTGCATGATTCA